CCTTGGATCAAGAGGTCCTCGTTTAACATCCAAGAATCTTCCTTAAGGGGTGAGGAGTCAAAACTTTTTAATGTATCCCTAAAAATATGCTTTTTTTAGCCACTTTCCAGCACCACCTCTACTTACGAGATCAGTGGTATCAGTGGTTCTCACGAAGCAACCAATAAGTGGTTTCACATTTAACTTCATTTGAGATTCTGGCTGTTTTTCATCCATTGCTGCCAGATGCAAGAATCAGTATTCACATGCCTGCACATTGGTCGTAGGCTATAATATGCTCACACAGTTCACCTTTCTCTTATGGTTCCAGCTTAAATTTAGGGCTTCCTATGATTTTATAAATACCAATTTGCTGCATCAACTGTGACCTCTGCTACTACTTGTCTTCCCAGTATAGTGCTGGATAATACATATGGTTTAGCACTTCCCAGAATATCTCAGTTGTATATCACAATAAATTAAGGAAAACTATACGACAATTTTTGGTTTATTTAAAAATACATGTGTACTACTGTACATAAACTAGTTTATAAATTCCATCAGTAATAAGAATAGTTATCAAAATTATTAAAGTTGTTACAAGAGCATGCATCACTGGTCAAACACATTGTTAATAGGACATGGACATCATAAGGTATATTACAAAATACACCTACCATCCCACTTACGACTGCTCGACTTATGACCACTCGACTTACGACCTTTTTTTTTTTTTTTATGCCAAATTTCTGGGAAATAAACTATTTGTGTTGTACACAGTGTTTATCCTAAACCTTACAGTATAAAATACAGTACTAACAGCATAAAAAGTAAAGTAAAACATGAAATACCAAAATAAAACAATAAAATAGTCATTACAAAAATGTTTTGTTGATATTCAGTAGTAAAGTTCGACTTACGACCATTTCGACTTACGACCGGTTTCTCGGAACCGAACTCGGTCGTAAGTTGGATGGTAGGTGTATACATTATGAGAGGCTGATATAAAATAAAATACAAAATGTTGGCAAAAGTCATTACAAATTTGCAGCATGCTCTATACCATAAAGTTATAGACTACAGCCCCTCGAGGAAGGTTCCTTGATGTTGGTGAGGGGCTCTTGGCTCAAAAAGTTGGACCTACCCTTCCCTTCCTCAGATCAAACCTCAGTACCTCCCATTCCCACATGTGCTGTGACCCTTACAGGTTTAACTCTTGCCCATGGATGTAATAAGGGGTATTATTATTATAATCAAGGGGGGAAGCGCTAAACCCAGAGGATTATACAGCGCCTGGGGGGGGGGGGATGTGGAAGGCATTCAGGCTTAATTTGGGAAACTGGAGCACAGATCCAATTCCTAAATCAAGAGCCCCTCACCAACATCAAGGACCTTCCTTGAGGGGGTAATAAGGGGTAAGGCAAATAATCATTAGTTTAAAGCAGAGATGGAAATGGGGGGGGGGATACAGGTATGTACTTCTCTTTTGGTTATTTTTTTCATGTTCAATTCTGTACTAAAGAGGTTTATTAGTTGTTTCTACCGCTGTATAGCCCTTGTGGCTTAGCGCTTCTTTTTGATTATAATAATAATAGTTGTTTCTACCAATCTATAAATTTACTTCTCCTATGGTACACAATTTTAATTGTAAGGAAGCACTAAACCCATAGGGGTCATACAGTGCCTGGGAGGCATTCAGGATTGATCTTAAGGAAGGTAATGTTCCTTGGATCAAGAGGGAGCAACTCTCACTCTGAACACTAATATGGAGCCAGAAGTTGCCAGGACAATACACCTCCACTCATCACAGCCCACAGGTGACTGAGCACCTCTCGCTCTTCACTGGCATAAGGCATCTACCTCTTGAGGGGTCCTCTATAGTAAAAATTGATAATTTTATACCATGTACCTTAAAATATGTTTCCATCAGTTGAAAGGTGCATTTGATAAACGACTCAAGGAAGATGCCAATGAGAAATTCTTGATCTAAGAAATGGACCTACCTCTCCTTCCTTGGATAATCTGATACCTTTGATTTCCCATGACCCCTACAGGTCTAGTCCCCTTTCCCTTAATGTAACGGTTAACATTTATGGGGTAGAGCTAAGCCCACAGATCTACAGTACCTGGGGAAATGAGTGGCATTTAGATTCACTCCCCTCTAGAGAGAGGTGCCTTGATGCTGGTGAGAGGCTCTTGATCTAAGGAAGTGGATCAAAACATCTTCAAAATGTGGGTTATTTGTACATTGTTCCAGTCACTATTGTGACTTTTATTCATTATACTCTCAAGCCGCTAAACCTGGGTGGGTCATTTAGTACTGAATACTAAATGTGATACATAGGAGTTAGGTTTAAATATACACTGCATAATACTGTGTGTAATTTTGCATGAACTTGCATCATATTTATGCAGGATTCTTTTTACACTGAAGTTGATTTCAGTACAGCTTTTACATTCTTCAGGCAGGCTACTCCATATTTCTGAACCTTTTACTTACTAAGAGAACACTGTCAACATCCATGGCCTAAGACTCATCAACTTAGCAGCAAATGTCAGAAATGCTGCCAGAATGAGTGTAAGAAGTTTTCATGAGGAGAGCTGGACAGCTTCTACAAGTGTTGGTTGAGCTGTTTGTGGTAGCTGAGCTTGCAGGCTGCTAGCACAGCCTGAATGAATCTGTGGGATGACAGCACAAACAGCCTGGTTGATCTTATGGTCAACAGGGAAACCTGGCCTGAAGTAGACACTGGAAACAAGTAAATCACAGTTTACCTTGATTTAGATAACATACAGGTGAGATATCAGAGAGATTTATCCTTCATGTTGTGCCTGTGCTCTATATTACTGTAGAGTCTATATACAATAGTATGTATGAATGGTCTGGATGTTCAGTATGCTTAGTTGTTTGTACAGAGTTGTCTAAATTTAGAATGTGAGATTCTTTGTGTATACCTGGAGGGTGTTCTGGGGGTCAATGCCCCCTATGGCCCAATCCATGACTTCTTATAGAAAGTATGCTGCTCTTGATCTCTAAGCACATACCTTTGAGATATTAGTGCTAGTGAAGCCTGGGGAAAGACAGTCAATCTTTTAAAGAAGATCCTCATATTTTATAATTTTAAGATGCATTTTGTATGCATGTTAAATTTCAGTTAATCCAGGTGAAGGCCTGGGAATTTACCTTCCTTCATTATTTATAATTTATCCTGTATATGTGGTTATTACTGCTTTGTTTCCAGATATTGTACAGTGCCTTCAAAAATAATCTGGACCTTCCCTTTATTACAAAAATCTTTAAAAAAATAATGTAAACATTAGAGAACAAAAACTAGTACTTGGTGCTTAAATTAATATTTTGTCTTCCCCTTGGCCTTGATCATTTGAAGATGTTTGTGCATGGTTTCACTCAGATTCCTGAAGTAATCAATAGATTACTGGTTGACCCAAATATCATTAATCTGCTGCTGGCACAACATGGATGAAATGTGGCAGGATTCCATCTCCTTTTTCATGATATTTCAGGCATCCTCATATAATAATCAGCATTCTCAATAGGATTGAAATCTGGACTATTTCCTGGTTGCTCTAAAACCTCAATATTTTTCTCAGCAGGTCACTTGGTTACTCTTTTGGCCTTGTAGCAGGGGGTGCTATAATGCATAAAGGTGGTGCAGCCTCATTTATAAACAGTATAAAGTGGTGCAGATTCATATTGTATATTTGATGCTATACTTCATCTGAATGCTTATGGAGTTATCTGTCAATTCTCTGAGGTAGTACAGGAGACAAAGTATGTATCCCCTCTCAGTGAACCTGCATACAGTAGTGAAATAAGGTGTTCTGTTGCATTACTCTAACCTTATGTGCCCAGGATTTGGAACTGTATTTTGTGCCAAGTGGATAAATATGGGTCGTTCAAAGATTAATGATGAAAAATGTCCATGTATTGGATAGGAGATCTGTCAATGTAATGGATGAGCAAAATCCAGTGCAATGGAGTTACTTGCTGCCACCTGTGGCCTCCCACCAGACATCATTCCCACTACAAAACACATTGGATGGCCAAGGACATCTAAGCACACAACATTTACATAGAGAGCTATATGGAAATCCACTTATGGCTGCATCACAGCTCAAAGAAATGCACCCTGAACTCTTCGATTTATGCATCCATTACTGCCTGCAAAAGAACCTCCACCTGCCAAATCATTGTACTGCATGGAAACTCCCCTACTCACACCCTGTATGAAGAAGGAATGCCTGCAGTTTGCCAGGAAATATGCACACTAGAGTGGTGACAAAAGTCATGTGGTCAGATGGATCAACATTTTAGTGCATTTAAGGTCATCAAAGCAGGTTGAGTCACCCCTCCTCCTCCAGCAGGTATGACCCTGCGCACGGACGCACGCACACGCACACACACCACCATTAAGCACCCATGATCAGTCGTGGTTTGGGGTTTACTTTAGTAGTTTACTTGGTTGTGGGGGGTTTGTACTTCCTTCCCCAAAACATTACAATGATTGTCGCTAATTATAATCATTCTTCATGAAGTCCACCCAATCCCAAGGCCAAAAAAGTAATCAAGAGGATTGCCTGGGAATAATCCAGACCTCAGTCTTATTGAGAATGCCTGGAATATCATGGAAAAGATGGAAACTTGCCACATTTCAGCCATGTCATTGCAGCAGTAGACCAAGGATATTTGGGTCAACCAGTTATCCATTGATTAGTTCAGCAATCCGAGCGAGAGCATGCACAAGTGGCTTTGAAGGGTCAAGATCAAGGGGCAGATGGCAAAAAATTAATGTAATGCAAAGTATTAGTTTTTGTTCTGTAGTGTTTATATTGCTGCTGTTTGACAATTTCATAATAAAAAGGGAGGGGTAGTTAATTCTTGCAGGCAGTAGAGTTAATGGTGTTGTGCCTGGCAGTTATCTAAATGAATATTTTTTGAGTTTGCCATTTATTAAGACTGTTTTCAATGCATTTTCTTGTGAAGGCCATGGTACACAGCATTTTTCAACTTTTTTTTATTATGGTTAAATTATTTTACATGGTGTATTTTATAAAATGAGATTTACAGTGGTGCTGCCATTTCATGAGCAAAATTTGTTTATCATTATTTAACTTTAAAGATCACATTATACTGTCAATTAGCTGTACAGTGTCATCTTTATAAATAAAAAAATAAAGTGGCAGTGCAAAGCATCATAACTAAGTACGTATATAATTTTGTGGTGTAAAAAAAAAATTATTATAGAAATGAAAATAGTCCAAGCATTAAGTTCACAAACTTGAGTACTGCTATCGGTCTAAAAATGTTAGTCTCAGAAAAATATACACAGCATCTGTTAATGTTAAAGATGATACATTTAAGAGAGGAAGTCTGACAAGAGCATAACAAGACTAAAAATTTCTGGAGAACTGTTGATGATTTTCTTTCTCACTGATTAAATACTAATCTGAACCTGTCTGTTACTTTATATTAATTTCGTACAAATCATTCCTCTTCTGATCACGAAGCGGGATCATCTGTCGTACCTTTTCCACGTAGTCAAGATCTAATAGGAAGAGAAAGTAATTACAGTAAAAATATTGCTAAACATTTTATAATGTGAATAACTAGGACAATCCCATTAATAATAAATTACTTGTCAGTACTTATATAAACCCAAGGGGGTACACTTTCATTCAGACTTGCATAAACCAAGTAGACAGGTCTCCCCAAACATTTGCGTTTTCCACTTTCATGGGCTTCGAACATTCGTGAATTCCCAGCCGCCCAATCACATTTAAAATATGTCATTACATGTGTTAGGAATTGTGGCAGTGGCAGAGTTTGTTTGGAGATAGGACAAGATAGTTCTTTAATATGACACTAATATAAACTCTACGACTTATTTATCTATCACAATTCATCTAATATGACATAATAAACAATATTAACAACACAGAAACATGACATACTCTAGAATGAATAAAATACATCATTAAGTATGTCACGAGTGTTGCTGTGTTGTTGTTGGGTGTATAAGGGCCACTGAAAGCTTAAGCCGTACATAATGGTGGTGGAGGCGGCAGTAGAGACTAGAGACGGCGGTGTTGTCAGTCGCCCTATATAACTCCAACAACATTGGAGGAATTAGGTTCGTGCTGTCCTTTTTCTATCGATTAATTACTTAACTTACTTGCTACATTGTTAATGCTACACTTTATTGCTGGCTGGCGATAAAGCGTAGCATTAACAATTCTACACTTTATCAACTTGTGTGCTTTAGTATCGTACATATCGTAGAATCACTGAAGAAGGCACATTCTCCCCTCTCTCTTCCTCCTCCACTTTGGTACTCTGCTACGAATTCTTTCTTGAATTCTATAGTTTTTCTCACCTTTACCAAAGGGCTGGCACTAGTACAATATTTTACAATGTCTTCATGTGTCTGACTGTTCATGGTTCAATAGGTTAAGGAAGCAGTATTGTATTATATTTCCCTACAATATATTGGGGCACCAAACATTTGCGAATTTTTCAACATTCGCGAGGTTCTTGATCCCCTAACCCTCGCGAATGTTGAGGGAGACCTGTATACTGGAGTACACTTTTAGTTTTTACAGATGGGAAAAGCTATTTTTCTGCATCAGCAGTTAATACAAGCAGTTTTTTTCATATCCTGTGAGAAAATTGGTGATAATGTTACATAAAGAATGATCAACCCCAGAGTATAAGTCTCTACGGATGGGAGAATCAGTTGTTTCCTGTATCATCAGTGTTAATATGAGAAAACTGGATTATTATTATTATTATTATTATAATCAAAAAGAAGCGCTAAGCCACAAGGACTATTAGCGCTGCAGGGCAGGAAGGAAGCGAGGGCATCAGGTGGCAAAAGGGAGATGGATGAGTAATAGGTTATGGATAACAGCGGGGTAGTGGATGGTGAAAGGGTAAAGGGCAGCAAGAGACCGAACTAGAAAGGGCTGAGGGGAGTGCGAAAGGTATCATCAGAGTTTGTGGAGTAAATCAGTCGTTGTCAAGAAGTCAATGAGAGAGTCAGGATTAAAGGAGGGTCCATCAGCAAGAAGGGAAGGTAAAGAGAGAGTAGTAAAAACAAGACAACGTTGGAGGAAAATTTCTGCGTGCTCGTTGATAGAGAGGGCAGTCTAACAGAATGTGGCTAATCGATACTGGAACTTGACACTGCTACAGAGAGGAACAGGGTGCCTCTCCATGAGATACCATGAGTAAGACGAGTGTGGCCAATGCGAAGGCGGGAGAGAGTGGTCTCCCAACCTCGGCACTGATGACAAGAAGCGGCCAGTAACCAAATGCTCGGTTTATAGAATGAATTTTGTTACCGAGCAGAGTTGACCAACGTTGTTGCCAACGGGTGCGAGGTGGTGGTATTGCAGCAAAAAAGTCCAGAAATGGAAGACCTCTATAGGAAATCAGTAGGTCATGTATGCTGACCGGCAGCAGTGTCTGCCTGTTCATTGCCGTACGTCGAAAATGCCCAGGGACCCAACAAAAAAACAATATCTTTATGTTTGGTAGAGATACGGCATAGCCAAAGTTGGATACGGAGAACTAGGGGATGAGATGTATCAAATTTTCGTTAGCCTGTAGAGCACTAAGGGAGTTGAGACTACTAAAAATGATGACACAGGCCAATCCCAATACGAATAAGTGCTGCAAGAATGGCATACAGTTCAGCAGTAAAAATGCTAGCTGAAGATAGTAAATGCCCCCGCACACGCTGTCCGGAAACACTGCTGCAAAATCCGACGCCGTCTGAAGACTTAGAGCCATCTGTGTACACAGCGGTGGCATGAGAATGGGAGTGGAAGTGATCAAGAAAAAGAGAGGGGAAGCCACCGTAGGCAGTTGAGCTTTCGAGCAAGGAGTGAGAAAGAACAGACCCGAACAGCTGGAACTTCCCAGGGGGTAGGGAAAAGTGAGATGCTAAAAGAACATATAAAGGTGGTAACTGAAGGGAAGACAAGAGTGAATGTAGGCGAAGAGAAAGGGACGGAGCAAACAGGGGCGGCGAACGAATAAAGAATGTCTACTAATATCGGTGACCATTCTATAAATGGAAGGATTGTGTAGATCGTGAGAGCGTACATAGTAGCGAAGGCAAGGGGCCCATCACGGCGATCAGAAAAGGGAAATGGAACATTCGCTTCTGTATAGAGGCTCTAAACAGGGGAAGAGCGAAAAGCACCAAGGCACAAACGTAATCCTTGGTGATGGACAGAGTTAAGGCTAGAGAGAGTAGCAGGAGAGGCCGCGGAATAAATCTGGCACCATAATAAAAGTTTCGATAAAACGGGGGCTGAATGTAGGCGAAGCAGAGTTCGACGATCAGCTCCCCGGGAAAGATGAGCAAAGGGTTTTTAAGAAGGTTTAGCCGGTTTGTGACAAGTTGCCTTCAGGAGGTAATGTGAGGTTTCGGGAAATAACCGACGGTCAAAGAGAAGGCCTAGAAACTGACTGTATCACGTTCAGGGATACGGGAGCCATAGAGATACAAAGGATGATCGGAGATAACAGAGCGTCTAGTGAAATTAATTTGGTGAGTTTTGGTACTTGAAAAATTTAAACCCATGCGTGGTGGCCCAAGGGGAAAAACACGGTCGACCGCATGGGAGAGAAACTGCAATAGATGACAGTCAGCGCCTGCACAGCAATAGCGAAGTCATCAACATAGAGTGATGACCAAATATTGGGTGGAAGAAAGAGGCCAAATCATTTATAGCAAGGAGAAAAAGTGTTGTGCTTAGAAACACCCCTGAGGGACACCTTCAGCTTGGATAAAAGTCCGGGGAAAGAACATTATTGACTCGAACACGGAAATGTCTGTCAGTTAAAAGTTCTTAAGGAAGGATGGTAGATTGCCTCGGAGGCCTAAGGAATGGGCCTGGGCCAAAATACTATACCTCCAAGTTGTGTCATATGCCTTCTCAAGGTCAAAAAATATGGCAATAACCGAGTGATTATTTGCAAAGGCATTACGAACATACGTATCCAAGCGTGTAAGGGGTCTATGGTAGAACGACCCTTACGAAAGCCATATTGCTAGGGAGAGAAGTTGTGTGTCTCTAAATACCACATTAAACGCGATTACGAGACGTTCCATCACTTTGCAAACTGCACTAGTAAGAGCGATGGGGCGATAGTGGGGGGCATCATGTCCTGTAGTACCCGGTTTGCGGAAAGGGAGAACAATGGCAGATTTCACAGCTGGGAAGAACTCCTTGTGCCCAAATAAGATTGAAGAGGTGTAAGAGGATTACAAGGGCTGACCGATGAAAATGTTGTAACAAAACGAATATGAATGTCGTCAGGCCCAGCTGCCGATGATCGGCAAGCTGAGAGCGTTGCCTCCAGTTCTTGAAGTGTAAAAGGCACATTATACTGTTCTTCTCTGCGAGAAGAAAAGCCCAAAGGGTACTAACTCTCTGGCAGACTTTGAGGAAAGAAACGGGGGGCATAGATGGACCCCTCGGGAAATACGGACCAGATGTGTGCCAAGTTCAATGGCAACGTCGAGAGGGTTTGCTACATCAACACCAGCGAACCCCTTAGAACAGGAGCCGGTCAGGAGGAGTATTTACACTCAATTTCCTCACTTTTTTCCATACTGCACTCATAGAAGAACAAAAGGTGATGGTGGAAACATAAATCTCGCCAACAAGTGCGTTTAGCTTCAGGATGACACGGCGAGCGATCACACGTTCTGCTTAAAATCAAGAAATCTCTCAGCGGTTTATTGTACCGGTACCTGCCCCATGCAGCACGTTTCAAACGTACTGCACAAGCACAAGCAGGAGACCACCAAGGCACGCAAATTCTGAGAATGCCTGCCCGAGGTTTTGGGGTATAGAATGAGAAGCTGCAGTATAAAAATGACGTCGAGAAGATGTGTAGGAGCTCATCAATGGAGGATGAAAAAGGAACCTCACTAAAAGCAGTGAGGTGTGAGTAAAGATCCAAAATTTTTCCCCATCAAACTGCCCCGCGAGGGCTACGGAAAGGTGGTGAATAGGAAGGAGAAGTAAGAATGATCGGAAAATGATCGTGTCATGTAAGTCTGGTAGAACAGACCAGTGAAATCTAGTGCAGTGGAGGAAGAGCAGACTGATAGATCGATGCAAGAGAGAGTATGAGTACGAGGATCAAAATGGGTGGGAGTACCCGTATTTAAAAAATGGAGGGGGTGGAGGCGAGGAAAAGCCTCCAACTGGATGCCACGTGAGTCACCATGAGACCCCCCCCCCCAGAGGAAATGGTGGGGATTAAAATCACCAGTAACAGAGTGGTGGTGGTAAGGATGAAACAAGAAAGGCAAGTCTGGGATAGAAAAAAGCCCGAGAAGGAGAGAGATATAAAGAAATTGTAAACCCCTTATTCAAGTGGATACGGGCTGCAGTGTAATGCAGCGAGGTATGACAAATAGTTGACAGTACGGAATATCATTGCGTAGAAGAAGGGCACTTTCATTAAAGGTCCCATCTGAGAAAGGATCCGAAGAATACAATAAATTATAGCCCGAGATAGGTT